GCAGTGGAAACTTTTTACAACCGACTAACTCAGACAATGTATATTTGAGAAATTGCGGATCATAATTAAATTGTCTAATATTTGGGGGAAAACAACTTCGCCCTCATTAATCAAACTGCAAATTCATGAAAAAAAAGTATAACTTTCAAAACTAGTTGTACAAATAACTATTGCTTTCAAAATCACACGAAAAGTGCCTTCCATTCGGAACTGAATTTTCTGAACAGATTTTGGTATTTAATAAAAATTACATTCATCCCAACCCCACTACTGCCTCAGCAGAAGGAAAAGGTGATTTTTAAATAAAACAAAATGTATATCCTTGTTTCAAAAATCAAACAAAAAAAGGCATGAATTCGGAATTGAATTCTCTGAACAGATTTTGGTATTTAAGAAACGATAAAAATTAAATTCGTTGCAAGTCGCAAACGGCAAAAGGAAAAAGTGTCTTTTTAATAAACCAAAGTGTATATCATTGTTACAAAAATCAAACGAAAAAGGTTTTCGATTCGGAACTGAATCTTCTGAACAGATTTTGGTATATAAAATCGACAAAAAGGAAATTTGTCATAAGTGGGTGAAGTGATTTTTTAAATAGAGCAAAGTATTTATCTTTATTTCAAAAATCAAACAAGAAAGGCTTTCGATTTGGAACTGAGTTTTTTGAATAGATTTTGAATTGTAGAACTGACAAAAGGTTAATTTTGTTTCAAAGAGCTACATCAGATAGAGCATCATCATTCAATTAAAACTTTTTTAATTCATCTGTTCGCAAAAGTTTTATCCAGAAATAGTGTATTTTACCTGCCAGGTCTTCAGAAATTACGCTAAATAATAAGATTTCCAAAGCCCTAATTCATTTAGTATGTAATTTCTCGGTAAATATTTGAAACTCAATGAGAGCGGCCGCACTAGAATGACAATTCAATTATAAGTGGTACCACTCCCTTCACTTTTAAATTTTAATGATGAAGGAGTTGAATCAAACGGAGACGAAAAAAATGTGCTTATTTTGATCTTCTATTTGCTTGAAAATGAACCTGAGTGAAAACTTTTAGATGCGCTAACTTTGGTCCCCTTTGTGTCTGTGTTTGCAGTACGAGGATAAGGTGAGGCCAAAGGTGAGGCTGACAATGAAAGAAACGGGATTTTATTTTTCTACGCGGTTTCCCTGTCCATAGTTGTTTCGGTAGATCATAGACTTCGCTTTGGGCCACTGGATTACATCCATTGATTTTTTCGTCGATTTTGTTACTAGCGGATCCATTGTCACCAATCGTCACACTGCGCTAAATAATGTTTCATCTAATATTTATGGTAAATTTTGGAGGGGCCAAAAAATGCTCTCTCCCTTTCAACATACATAGTCGGAAATATTAGAAGAGGGATCACATTGCTTATAAAAAGAGGCACAATTGAGCACCATTAGATACATTAAATAAGTTTTACCGTCCGAAATGTGACAGTCAAAATAATAGATATATACTGGTAGCAAAGTAGGTGGCTCACCATTGGGATCTCCATAACCCTGACAGATACAGTGATGATTTAAATGGGGGCGAAGTTACTCCGTTTTGTGACAAAAAAACGTATTTAAAATTTAGAAAAATCTTTGAAAATAACTGAGATATTTTCACCAAAAAACTGAAAACGTCCATTTTTTCCTGGCATAAACGGTCGGAAATGAACGGTTCCAGGCAATCTTTTTCGGGGAAACTGAATTAGAATTTCCATGTAGAGACAATTCTGCGCTCATTTAACCTTTACGGCATCTCTCACTATTACCGAGATCCCAATGGTCAGCCACGAATTTGAACCACGCTGTACCATTTTAATCACGTGATCACTGAAGTACAATTACTTGCTTTGATAATAGTGGGGTGCCCTCTGAACGCACCCAGAGTAATTTTCATTAGATTTTAAAATGAGAGGTTTTGTGAGAACCACAACATTGCTTGATGAATATGACTTTTTCAAGATTCTGTTTAGTCTTTAACATAAAAACTTTCCTCTAAGCAAATAGTAACTGAAGAATGTCAAATAAGTACATTGTGCCACCGTATATTAAGATTTGTTATACTTCCCCATTATAAAAAAAAACTGTTAGGAGTCAGTCGAGAGTGATTTTACAGAATCGAGTACGTCTTGAAACCACTAATATTTTCTCAAACGTAGAAATTGAAACGAGAAAAGTAAGAAAACGAAAACAATAAAGAAAAGACTAAACCACTTCAAGGGACAAATATAAAACACACAACCCCATAAAACCAGTAATGAATGAAAGTCATAAAACGTTGGCACGACTTCTGAAACCCACCGAACGGAAATCGCTCCTCGTTCATTTCCCTTATTTTCCAATTTAACATCAACGCCCTCTGAGCATGCATGAATAACGCGACTAAATGAAATTTTATGGTGGGGATAAAAGAAAGTTTCGTTAAATTGGTCAAATATTTTTATGATACGGATATACCGTTATATAAGGTAAGTGAAGGTAAATCATTCCGGTGCGTTTGGAACTCACGTTGAAGCGATTTACATAAGGCATGTAGGGGGTGTGAGCTCTTTAAATGTATGTCACCAGGTCGTTTCTTATTATTATTCATTGCGCAACTATTTCAAATAAATTATGCCACTATCTGCTTTTATTGTTTGCATTGTTGTCGTATACACAATGTTTTATGGGCAACGCTAATTTGTAATATAATTACAAGATGTAAATTTAAAATTATCCATCAACTGTTGGAAATGATACTGAATAGCCCCTTTTTTGTTTCGGACAAATGTATCTCTTTGATTTTTACTGTCAATTAAGTTTATTAAAGATTAACCCTCGTCTTGGTCTTATTTGTGGTTGGGTTTGCAGTTTTGTTTTCGTGAATGAATGAAATCTATTGCCGACTATGATTTTATTAAAAAGGTCGGTCGTTCTTGTGCCTGTTAAAATTATCTGACAATTTTCCTTTAATTTAATTTAACTGAAACAAGAAAACCGTCGCTTTGTGATATATTCATTTAGGAAGTCTAAAATGTCGAGATAATTTTATCATCCAACTTTCGAGATTTTCAATTTAAATATCTTCGAAACTTGATTAAATTGTGAGCTTAAAATCCTAAGGATTGCATTATATTACTAAATTGTGTGTTTAAAGGTCGAAATTCTACTATTTTTCTTATGTTCTGAGCATAATGGCTCATGTTTAAAGTGGAAATTGCATATTAAGTTTAGAGCCTTCAGTTTAAACGTCGAAATATTATTCATTATGAGTTTATAAACAATGCGAGTCATAAGCAGCGTAATAGAATTTATTATTTATATTAAACCTGAAACTCTACTAAATTATCGGTTTAATGTTGCAACATTCATATATTTCGGGTTTGAAAGTCGAAATTTTATTAAATATCCAGTTTAAAGTGAAACTTTTATTAAACCACTAGCTTGAAAACTGACTTTTCTCAGTTTTTCTGTTTAAATACCGTTGAAACTTTATTAAACTGTGACGTTATGCTATACATAAATTGAATTCCGCACGGTATAGTATTCTATTACTAAATTTTTGGTTTGAAATCGAAATATTCTTAGGTATAATGATGTACTACGAGTTTAAATTTTGATTAAATATCCGGGGTTAGAATTGGACTGTGATATTCCCTACCTGGCATAAAGGGCGACTGAAATAGAACCGAATGACTCCCGGGATAAGTGATCAACTCCCATCGAGTTACAACGGCTTCATGGCGGAGGAGTGGTTGAGAGAAGGGCACCCTCTTATCCCTCCAAAATGCGGATGAACAACTAACGTCAACAGCATAGGATGCAGAAAGCAACGGGAATAAATCTTTGTTGATATCCTAAGTTGACGGTGGCAGAAATGAGAAATGAAAAAAAAATGGATACTTCGCATATTTATAAGTTAACCGCAAATATAATATTTCCTCACTCGGATTCCCAGGAGTAGAACTATACGAAGTGTGCATCCAAGAAGAGAGGAATGTAACAACCCTTCATGAAGGAAATTAAAAACCTAAAAAGAGAAATGCTAAGAACTTGGACTATGGTGTCATTAGTGAGATGGGGTGGATGAGGAGTAGAAAAAGAAGAACATTTCATCTTCTATTATAGTTGAGACAAAAAAGGAAGAAATGGGGCGCCTTACCAAAGTAATAAGCGACTGTGATAGAATCATAGCCGATAGCAATGAAAGTATATACGATACGTGATCAAAACGGTGAAGAAATGGAAGAACTGTACGAATGAATTAGAGGAATAGGTAATTGGTAAGGAAGAACAGTGATGCTGTTGATTGTGATGGGAGATTGGAATGCCAATGTGGGAAAGGCGAAGGTTAAGGGAGTGGTTGGAAGATACGGACTCGGAGACGGGAGAAAGGAATGTAAGAGTTTTGCAAAGAGAATAATGTTATTGTTATAAACACATGATTTAAAAACCATAAAAGAAGGAGCTACACCTGAAACGCACTAGTATTGTAATTATAGGTAATTGGAAAGGTAGGTATCTCTTTGAAGTAAAAATTCTACAAAATATTGTGATTAAGTCATAAAGTTTGCCTGTTTCCAGTTTAAGATGGAAATTGAGTAGTATAAGGGTGAACAAAGATCGTTATAATCAGATCACTATTCTGACATATAACAGTATAGGTAGTGTCTGTAGGGGGTAGTGCATTCGGCGCTTTTCTTTTCTGGTGGATAATATTATCAATGACAATTTGTTTAATTTGTTCATATTTGATTAGTGTGTCTCGCATTCCTGTAATTGGGGCTAACGTGACTTATTGATAGAAATCATTCTTACTTGGTTAATACGGTTTTTCTGTAACACACCTAAAACTTTACGTAAATTCGTTCTCGCATTTATATTAACCGTTAAGTACATCGCCTCGGGACATGCAACAAAAATAAGCTTAACCTAAAAAATGTTCTGTTGTCATTTTTAGAATACTCGATCAGTATAAGCCTGTCGTAAAAGAAATTATACTAACCTGTGTGACCAACCATTAGTGAATGTTGCATATTATACACGGGTGATGTACAACTAAATTCCAAAAGGAAACTTGTTACTGTAACTAAAATTGCCGACAGCATCTGAAAATAAAAGAAAAAAAAGATAAATAACGTCCACTCAAGATCGACTAATATCACAAAAGATTTTACTCTTACAATGCCACCTTTATGCGAAGACGTTTTGATAAATGAAAAAAGTTTGTAAGCGTAACGCTTACGGAATTAAGTTTACAGAAACTTCAATAAACTTTCATAAATAATGAGATTTCGACTTCAAAAACTTGAAAGCCGCAAAATTTAATTACCGGCTCGTTCGAATGCCTCACGAACAGCGGAATTAAAAATTTCAGAATTATCTACCATTCATTGGCTTCTCCGATTTCTGAAAAAAATTTACGGAGTGATAATTATAAACATCCGACAAAAGTTCTACCAATTACGAAACGTTTCAAATTTCGATCTTTTAGAGCATCAATTACTTAAATTTATTGAGAAGCAAAAAGAGTCGACCGTAATATTCGACAAGTTTAGCGGTGGGTTTTATGATTGCGTTGTCCCGAATTTTAATATCTTGTCGTGATGGGTTAATTGTAGAGTAGTTTATTAATCCTGGTTTTTGTTTTTGAAACAGGTATATTTCAGGCCCTTAAGGTTATACGAATTTTCCATTATTTACCAAAAAAGTTAGCACAACCCTACTGAGATGAGTGTAAGTCAAAGTAAGTGGGTTTTATGAAAAAATGGACTGACAGGTGGAGCACCGCCAATTATTAATTTTAATTAAGATTGAACGTTGTTGTGTATAAACCAGAACTCCCGGCCAGTAAAAGACATCGAATTCTTTTGTACGCTTTGAGACAAACAGCGGATTGAGTACCTAAAAATCAGTACTCAAAATTCTATCCCTATTTAATGTATTGCAGTACGACTTAAGAAATTAAATGATCTTCCTAGTGCATTTGACAACAACTGATTGCACTGAAATACTGTAGGGGATTTTCTCTCCTTATTCTCGCCCACCTTGGAAGCGTCGGAAATTAATGCATGAATGAAATCACAGACAAAACGGAATGGAATAAATTCGGCTTGGTTTCCTTAACGATGTGAAACCCGGAGAACATTAATTTCTGTTTACTGTTACACTATCCTGAGAGCGAACAGATTGAAATTTCAGAGGTGGTTTCGTCTAGGAACATGCAAAGCAATTCCCTAAACCAAGCAAGATTGAATATTCACAAGGTAATTGAGATTTATAGACATTGTTCGTATATTACAATTTTCTCGCATGGAAAGAGAGCTTTTTTTGCAAGCTTACAACGTAAGAACTGGAGCTGTATTGCTCAGTGAGTACAAATTGCTTACAATTTAAGCTCTGCTCAAGCTTAATGTGATAACAGGTCTTGCCGGGATTTAACTGAAGATTTAGATACAATTATTATTCTACAAGTTGGAATCTGGTGCATTCGGCGAAACCAGATTCAAAGGTAGAGGAAATGAATCCAATCTCACTTTAGTCAAGGGCGGTACCACCTACGTAGGATGCTACAAATTATCTACATATATAGCTACACTTTTAATTTGCGCGCTATGTTATAAGCTAAAAGAATTTCCCCTCTAGTAATCCACCCACAATTGTAGGAGCGAATTTCGTTGAAAATTCCGAAATTTTAAATCGGGATTTTATCTTTAGGTGGTCATTGAAGGTATATTAAACAAACAACATTTTTTAAGTGTATGGATGTATGGAGAAATAAAGCAGGTAACACGCCCTATTGGAAAAACACTTTCCGTAAAAACAAAACCGGACATTTACTAGTAGAAAATAGCGATAAATTAGAAATTGGGGGAATATTTTGAAGAACTATTGTTAAATGGTGACGGTGAAGTAGGTAATGAGAAAGAATACAATGATTTGAGGAGGCAAGAAGAAAACGCTGAGTTTCGTAAAGGAGAAGGATCTAATATGTGTATAATTAAGTTGATAAAGGAGATATGACAAGAACAAAAAATTTTGGAGTTGGAAAAATTTGCGAAATATTACAGTCTAAGAATAACCGAAAAGAAAACAAAATATTTAGAGAGGGCAGGAAAAGAATTTAGAGACAGTGAAAATCTAGTAGATTAATAGTGGAAACAGAAACTTTGGAAAACTCGTTTGTCTACTTTGTGGTGATACTAAAAATCAATGGAGAAGAGGCACTTTACTTTTCCGTAGCAATTGGACGGTTGCTTATAGATATTTAAAAATATTTGATGTGTTACAGGGGTTACCACCCCCGCAATTGACTGTTGACCTTAAAATAACGAAATTAGATGCTGTACAGACATTGTTGACTAGGAGCTGAACTTGAAGATATCGAAATAAATTAAAATACCAAAGCACAAAGGTGGTGTTTATAGATTTAGGTTTCTATACATCTTGTGTATTGAGTTTCAAGTTAATCTTTCGCAATACTAAATACAAATTTCGGCAAAAAGTTCAAAGGGCTGTAACTTTTGATCTAGTAGTCCAATCTTGGAACTGTATGAAATTATGGATTCTACGGGCCCAACTCTATAAGAAAATGTTTTTCCCGGTCGAACTCAGACAATTTTTTTTACGGCCTCAAAAAAAGGCAGTGTATAAACCTTCTTTTTTGCCAAAAAACGACTGCTCCAAAATTTCTCGGGAAAACACTTTTTCTCACTAATTTTGGTGCGTAGAATCCAAAACGATTCGTACTTTTTCGATCATACCTCTCAATCAAAAGTTATGGACTAAATACAAATTTCGACAAAAAGTTCAAAGGGCTGTAACTTTTGATCCAGTGGTCCATTCTTGGAACTGTTTGAAATTATGGATTCTACGGGCCAAACTCTATAAGAAAATGTTTTTTCCCGGTCGATCTCAGAAAATTTTTTTTACGGCTTCAAAAAATGGCAATCATACTATTACAAAGAAAATGTTTAAGCTTGTTTCCATAATTACATGCCTCTTTAAAGCAAATCTACATTTTCTTTGCAATTTTTTATGCTTTGTAATCCCGACTACTAATAAGGCATGTAGATATTACTAAGGTTATTCGATCTCGTTCTAATATAAAAAAAATATTTGAAAGATGTACTCGGTACCTGAATATATTTTGTCTTTTTTAAATAAATGATCCCAATTTATTCTAAGGCGGTTACATTTCTAACTTTCTAGATTTTTATATACACATACACATACAAATTATCCTTCCATCATACGATAGTATGAAGAAAATGTAGCTTATTGTTAATCTCTGATTTTGACGAAAAATACGTGTTTTCGCAATATTTCAGAATTTACCCGAGCGAATGTTGTCACCTCATTGCATGGCATAATTTTCAAAGTATCAAGTTCAAAATTTCACAGTAATTGTCAATCTCTGGAACACTTAAAATCTTAAAACACGTTTGAAAGTTTTCGCGATTTTCCGGGATTTTCCGAGCAAGTGTCTCTTCATTACAGGGCGCAATTTCGAAGTTATCAAGCACATTCTGCCTATACAGGGTGCTCACTGGAAAATTGAATTTATTGATATGAAGAAAAAAGGCACTTGTCGATTCTTACGGTTTTAGCGTGGGTACTTTATTTTGATTTCCATTGTACATAATTCATGTTTATAACATTTTCGGTAAATTTGGCTCGGTAACTTCATCAAATCTGTTACCTTTTTCTCTTACAAATTACTTTTTTGTATAAAAGGTTCTAAACGAAACTAGAATTAAGAAGGAGAATTTTTAAACAAAAAAAAATTGGTTAATCCAGTAAATTTGTGACACAACTATTTAACGTTTAAAAAGTATGCCCCACATGGTTTATATATTTTTGGTACAAAGGAGTGCGACGTAGTGCCAAGTTTTAAGGTTTATTTTGCTACTTTTCCAGATCGACGCGATTCGCTCAATCTACTTGAGACTAAACACTTGCAAACAGAAGAAGAATTGGATAATAGCACGTAAATCGCCACGTAAACGCTTAAATAAAAGCTCCCTTTTTATTTCAATTCCACAAATCAACAAGTACTTATCCCATTTAAAACATTAACAGTACAAGACAGTAATCCTCTTCATTCCTCCGGTCACGTTTTTAACAAGAACCGAAACTAATTCGTTTTTTATTCTGTGTATGTGCTCACAAGGCATAACATATTTCTTTCAAAAATAATACGCAGGTACCGTTTAGCAAGATGATTCTGCAATTATTTCGATCGTACACCGTATTTACGATTGATAATATCCAAATCGGTACTTCCGTGGCGCTATTAATTTACGTTAAGTGCCTAACTAGGAGTCGATTGGATTTACGTTCACCAACGGCATATTAACTTTTACTGAAATTTTTTAGCCGTACCGGTCATGAGCGTAAAGAGCGTGAGAATTACAGTGTTCCGGAGGTCTTTGGCTTTTAATGGTACACGATGTCCATGGACATAAAAGCGCTAATTACAGTTATTCTCTTGTAAGATAGATACGCAATTTTTGGAGACAATTGCGTAAAGGGAACGCGGAAACTTACGATTTACATCGTTACAAGTACGTTAAACGGAGAGTAATCACAAAATTAATTAATCAACGCTCGTATTTAAATTCAAATTACGCTACGGTTTGTTGATTTAGAATGAAGGAATTCCGTTTTTTGCGTTTCCTTTTGTCTCATTCGCTATTACTGCTATTTGTTTTTCTTGCTGCCTTTTTTTACTAGCGTGTTCATTCAGAAAGCATTCGAGTACATCTAGAAATTATGCTTCATGGGACAAGTTAAGGAAATTAGTAACAAAAATTTAAATAAACGTATTATCCAGGTAAGTTGACTTTCGAAGTGTAAAGACGTTAGACGAGCGCAGTTATCGTTATCTTTGAAAGTGTCCTCGCGCCATACGGTGATAAATACAATAACCTAGTGCGAAAATAATACACAAGCAAACATTTATCGAATTATTCTGATCGAATGTAAAATTATATACCAGGTAAGCAGCTGGTCCTAAATTTCTCTAGGGGACATGCTCCCCCGTTCACAACAACACCCACCACTAGACCACACAACTCCTAATGCCCAAAATCAACCCCAGCAAAAC